TCCACTAAGAAATTCATTTGGCTAGTTACTGGTTATTAAATGGTAAAATTGGGCCAACTGGCAGTGTGCTTGCTGAGTTGGCTAGATCCAGATGGTCAGTTCTGCGGTCTGAGTCTGAGACTTTGGTTTGAAAAACACACCAGTATATGTGCATGTGCCCCAGATTCTGAAAGAATACTGGAGGAAAGCAAGCTGTTTTTATGGGAGAATTTAGGTAGGGAAGGAAGAGGGGAGTTTACCAAGAGTTCAGTTGCAGGCTGCTTAGCTGCACTAAGTGCCCAAAGTTGTCAAAATCCTGCTTTTACTTTTCAGACATTTTCCAGAAGTATATATTTGAGCCACAAAAGTCATAATGCATAATATTCCTAGTGTTCTTGTGATTCTTTTTTTGGTTTGTTTGTCTGGGTTTTTTTTGTTTGATTTTGCTATAGAGCGCATGTGCTCACCAGAAAGTGACAGAGTGAGAGGAAAAGAGAAATCACCCCCAGAGGGGATGGTGATTTCTCACCATCCAAATCCCTTCTTCTCCATTCTCCTCTCGGGATTTTCAGTACACATGCACATGTGCCTGGCATGATTTTCATTCTTTTTCTTTTTTTTTTTTTTTAAAGAGGTTTTTGCTTTAGGGAGCATGTACTCTCTAGACACAGAGACAGAGAAAGAAAGAAGGGAAGTGAGAAATCAACCCCCAGGAGTATACCACACAATCCCTTCTCCATTCTCCTCCTGAGATCTTGGGCACGTACACCCCCGTGCCCAGCATGAGTTTCAAGCCACTGGGTACTGCAGTCAGCCATGTGGGAGTCCAGTGATGTAACCGTTCCGCCATCTCACAGTACCCCCAGCAGGATTTTCAAGCCACTGGTCTGAGACAACTGTGCAGTCAGCCATGTGGGATCCAGCTGCCTTAATCTCCATGCCATCTTCTGGCCCAATTCCTGAAATTTGGAAGCACACAGTTGGTATGTTTTTATATACTTCTTTAAGGTGATAATTTTTCAGATTGCTAGCAAGTTAGAAAACCAGGATAGTTCAGTTAATTATCTTCCAGAATACATGCAGAGTTGCAAGTGTCACAGGTCAGAACTTCAGGCCAGCAGAAGAATCTCAGATTTCTTTACATTCTTTATGAGCTACAACATGTTCATTATGCAAGACAAATTACACTAAAGTAGCCTTCTAAATTACAAAATGTCCCAAACTCTTAAACTGCAGCTATTCTATTTCAATATATTTTCATAGAAAGTTACTATATACATTTCTAAATTCTCCTCTGGTTATATTTGCATAAACATTAGCATTTGGATGAGAAAAATGTTTAGTTTAAAGGCTGAACTGTGTTAAGCAGGTGGTGTGGTGGTTAAAGCACTGAATTCTACATAGTTGATTGTGTGGTTCAAGTCCTGGACCCAGAAGCTTGAAAAATATGCCAGGCACACATGTGCATGCATGCCCAAAATCCTGAGATGAGAAAGAGAAGGGATTGCATCAAGACCAAAAATCCCAAAAGGTGATTTCTCACTTCCCCTCGCTTTCTCTCTGTTTCTTACCAGTGAGCACACACACCCTATGGGGGGAAAAATTGGATTAACAACCATCAAATTGGCTGGTATCATTGTACATTTTTGCATTGTTAACAGAAATACCTGGGACTGGGTGATTTAGTTAGATAGTAGTTAGTTTTAGTTATTTTTAAGAGAGATTTTTGCTATTGATGCATGTGCTAGTCAGAGAAATAGAGAGACAGAGAGACAGAAAGTGAGAAATCACCTGCTAGGGAGGATGGCCCCTTTCCAATCACATTCTCCTCTCAGGATTTGGGGCATGCACACACACGTGCCTGGTATGAGTTTTAAGCTGCAGGGTCCAGGCCTTGAACTGCAGTCGATTGGCATGGGAGTCCAACAATGTAATCATTATGGCATCTGCTGGTCCTGAGACTGGGTGATTTTTAAAGAAAATAAAGGTTTAGGGACCAGCAGATGGCGTAATGATTATGTCGCTGGACTCCCACATGGCCCACCATGGTTTGAGTCCCAGACTCAGTGGCTTCAACATCACACCAGGTGTGTGTGCAGGCATGACCAAAATCCCAAGAGGAGAATGGAATAGAAGGGATTGTGGTGTGGCCATCCCACCTGGGGGGTGATTTCTTGTTTTCTGCCTCTATCTCTGCCTCTCTGATGAGCACACACATCCTATAGCAAAAATCTCTCTTAAAAAATAAAAAGAAAGAGAAGAAAGGTTTATTCAAAACTTACAAATCTAGTGGTTGGAAAATCCAAGGGCATTTTCTCATTCTAAAGTCACCAGAATTTAAGCATGGAGACCCTAACCTAGTGACTCTGTCATAACCAAAGGCCCCACCTTCCAACACCATAATCAGATTAAGTTTTCATCCTCTTAATCCTCTTGCAATAACTGAATACATGAATTTGGGGGGGACATATTCAAACTATAGGAGCTGGCACTGCAGAAACAAAGCATCTGAATTGAATTTTTCCATTTCCAGAAAATGTATATGTCTTTTGTTAATGATACTAGAGAGTAAAAGGAATATTTCACTCATGATGACCTTACTGATACTTTATTGAAATATGAAGTTATTTTATTTAAGTATTATTCAGACACATCACAAAATTACATAAAGGAACATGGATATTGTCTCATTTTTATAGAATCATAAAAATACAGAAGAAATCTACTGAATGAAGGGAAAATTTTATCTTATTTTATGCGCGACATACGATGCTAGGATCCTTAGATTCATTTATCACTTAATATTTATAAATATTCCTCAAAATAGATATTTGAGTTTTACTTTTACACATGAAACAATTAAAATTCATAGAGACAAATATAACTTGCTTAGTTTCAAAGAGATCTCAGGGAAAGTACTACATTTTGAAGCATATTATATTTTAGTTCACTGTCTGTTGTATTTCATTTTTCCTAGAGAAAATTATTACACAGAAAAAGGTAATATCTGTATAATATAAGGATACCTTTTTTTTTTTTTTTTTTTGGAGAGGTTTTTTCACTATAGTTCATGTGCGCTCGCCGGAAAGACAGAGACATGGAGACAGAAAGCAGGAAATCACCCCCCAGGGGGGATGGTCACGCCGCAATCCCTTCTCCTCCATTCTCC